GAGCCCACGTGTCCGTCTGGCACACCACGTGACGCGTTCAGTAGTTTAGTACTGGTAGGAACCTCCTGGTTACACCAGCCCACAGGGGATTATTGTGTCCGTCCGTCGTGCATTCAACAATGTGAGGGGTGGAGCTGGGTGCAGAGGGGAGGGTGGGGAGGGGCTGGGTGGGGAGGCAGGGGCTGGGTGGGGAGGGGCTGGGTGGGGAGGGGAGGATGGGGAGGGGCTGGGTGGGGAGGGGAGGATGGGGAGGGGCTGGGTGGGGAGGGTGGGGCTGGGTGGGGGGTGGAAGGGGTGGGGCTGGGTGGGGAGGAGCTGGTCACCCCGTGGTGCCCTTATAAAACTCAACGTTTAACCTACTCACGCCGGCTTGTGCCCGCCCTCACAGTCGGGCATATTTGCGGAATACACCACGCCGCCGTTGACCCTGCAGGCCATTGACCGAGCAACCCAACGTTCCTACCAGCTCCCTCCGCAGGACAATGTGTTTTAATAGCGAGCCATCGCTCTATACCCCGCGAGAACATTATTGTGTTGTTAGTATTTGTTCTGAGATTCATCATTGATAATTATTAGGGGGTGAGATTGCGTGAGTAAAAATGTGTGTCGTAAACCCGAAACGGTCATTTAATAAAGTTGTTAAAGTTGTATGTACTGCATTCAGAACTTCTTTCGCACCGTACGTAGCCAAATTAAACACAAAGAGCAGTTATTCATTAGTTTTCACTCTAGATTTAAAAAGTGAATAGCTCCAGTGGGTTCCTAATGTCGGAATGAAGAACGTTCCAGACGGCAGCAGAATCGCATCTTAAACTTAACGCGATCTAACCCCCCAAAAAAACAATTATGGATCATCTGCTTGGTTCTTTCGGTAAAGTCACGTAGAAGGGAAATAATACAATAATACAAATAAAACATAATAAAATAACTCTCAGGACGTTTCGGCCACAACGCAAGCAGCCGTCCTCAGGTGAAGAACAGGTCTGTCGGAAAGACACCTGAGGACGGCTGCTTGCGTTGTGGCCGAAACGTCGTGAGAATGATTTTATTATGTTTTATTTGTATTATTGTATTATTTCCCTTCTACGTAACTTTACCGAAAGAACCAAGAAGATGAATCCCTGTAGTCACGAAAGCTTTAAATCGAAATTATGGATCTTATTTATCGCCGTGGGTTGGTGAGCGAGATTCCTCAAAAATATATATATTTTTGCGATCGACGCATAGGCCACCATAGGTTTGAAGTCTCCTGTTGATTGGGATGGAACCGGACACACACGGTGGGCTGGAACTACCGAGTAACCAAAATGTAGCCCCCTGGGAGAGTGGTGTCGCTACCTGGTGGACAGGGCGCGGTACTGCAGCTAATGGGATGACTCCCCTCCACGCACTCTCCTGCATCTCTCAACCCATCTCACTCCACTCCCCTCCACGCACTCTCCTACCTCTCCCCTCCCATCTCACTCCACTCCACTCCACGCTCTCTCCTGCATCTCCCCTCTCATATCCCTCCACTCCACGCACTCTCCTGCCTCTCTCATCCCATCTCACTCTACTCCCCTCCACTCACTCTCCTGCCTCTCTCATCCCATCTCACTCCACTCCCCTCCACGCACTCTCCTGCCTCTCTCATCCCATCTCACTCTACTCCCCTCCACTCACTCTCCTGCCTCTCTCATCTCATCTCACTCCACTCTCCTCCACGCACTCTCCTACCTCTCCCCTCTCATCTCACTCTACTCCCCTCCACGCACTCTCCTACCTCTCCCCTCTCATCTCACTCCACTCCCCTCCACGCACTCTCCTACCTCTCCCCTCTCATCTCACTCCACTCCACTCCCCTCCACGCACTCTCCTCCCTCTCATCTCGCTCTACTCCCCTCCACGCACTCTCCTGCCTCTCATCTCACTCAACTCCCCTCCACGCACTCTCCTGCCTCTCCCCTCTCATCTCACTCCACTCCCCTCCACGCACTCTCCTGCATCTCTCATCCCATCTCGCTCCACTCCCCTCCACGCTCTCTCCTACCTCTCTCATCTCACTCTACTCCCCTCCACGCACTCTCCTGCCTCTCCCCTCTCATCTCACTCCACACCCCTCCACGCACTCTCCTACCTCTCCCCTCTCATCTCGCTCCACTCCCCTCCACGCTCTCTCCTACCTCTCTCCTCCTATCTCACTCCACTCCCCTCCATGCACTCTCCTGCCTCTCATCTCACTCAACTCCCCTCCACGCTTTCTCCTGCCTCTCCCCTCTCATCTCACTCAACTCCCCTCCACACACTCTCCTGCCTCTCTCCTCCCATCTCACTCCACTCCCCTCCACGCACTCTCCTGCCTCTCCCCTCACTCCACTCCCCTCCACGCACTTTCCTACATCCCATCCCACTCTACTCCCCTCCCTCCCATGCACACTCCGCTCCAGCAACTCAAGGATTTTTGTGGAATCCCCCCTCCCCCAGGCAACATTGGCTCAGCTGGAGGTCGTTTAATTAAAACAAATCAACTCGCTGCCCCTCCCCCTTCACCCCCCCACTCACCCGCATAGCACGACCCCCCAAGCATGCTTGGGGATGTCCTCATCCAGCAGTGGATTGAGCGAGTGACTCCCACACACAAAAGCATGAGAAGATCCATATCTGATGTAACAGATGGCGTCACGGTGGGTAGGAGATGTTTACTACTTCGCCTGGTTTTACAGGAGGTATTGTGTTCGATCCTCACTCTGACGCCTGCTGCTGTATATTTGGAGTTTGCGTCTCTCTCCGTGGTGAGATGTTAACTACCTCGCCTGGTACACAGGAGGTCTTGTGTTCGATCCTCACTCTGACGCCTGCTGCTGTATATTTGGAGTTTGCGTGTCTCTCTCTCCGTGGTGAGATGTTAACTACATCGCCTGGTACACAGGAGGTCTTGGGTTCGATCCTGACTCTGACGCCTGCTGCTGTATATTTGGAGTTTGCGGTGTCTCTCTCTCACTCCTCGTGGTCACGTGGATTTTCTCCCGGTCCTCCGGGTTTTTCCCTCCGCATTTAGAATCAACAGCACGCGTTTCGCGTATTTGGCTGCTGTACATTTCCACGTGATGATGATGACAAGCCACTTGGTCGGGCTAACATTTCTGACAGCCAGATCGCTTCTGAACAAGAGCTACACATCTCAGTGGGGCCCTACCTGATTAAATAAAAAAAATAGTCGATTTAAAGCTTTCGTGACTGCAGGGATTCATCTTCTTGGTTCTTTCGGTAAAGTCACGTAGAATGGAGATAATAAAATAATAAAAATAAAACATAATAAAATAATTCTCACGACGTTTCGGCCACAACGCAAGCAGCCGTCCTCAGGTGAAGACCAGGTCTGTCGGAAAGACAGCGTCTGAATGAGATGAAAGGAGATGAATCCCTGCAGTCACGAAAGCTTTAAATCGAAATTTCACCATCACACCATTCGTCAATTGACACGGGCTCGCCGGCCTGTGCTGAACAGCAGATTCGGCTGCTTACTTGAGCTACACAAAGCAGCAGCAGCAGTATCTTTGCTCCTTTCATCTCGTTCCGTGGCGGATGAATGGTCCTTAATCCAGGGTGCGTGAGTGACTGGGGGAAGGGGGTGACAAAGACAAAGACTCCTCGTATAGCCTTTGATAGAATGTTATTGGGAGCAAGTGCCGTTGGCGACTGGCACCAATGAAGGCTGGCACAGCACACGAGTGGGCAGTGGGTGTCCCGACATCAGGTACTCATTTGAGGTTGAGTCGACCTAGGGAAGGAGGCCCAGGATCGGTTCAGATAATCGCAGGGTTGGTGGCGCAGTGCAGCGCTAAGCACTGCGTGACCGCTACCCACAACGTTGAGTGATCGTTTGTGGCCAGGTCACTTCTAAAAAAATAAGCTAAATAACTCAGTTGGCTTTGCCTGCTCCGATTAGCACGGTTGGCTACGTACGGCGCGAAAGAAGTTCAACATACATACACGATATAAAACAAGCCAATTCGTCACTAGTTCACCGCACAGGTGTTGTTTGAGAGTAAACTCACATATTCTTAGGTTTTTTCGGTAAAGTCACGTAGAAGGTGGAACCGTCACAGCACTTGATACAGCTATCGTGCTGTGACGGTTCCACCTGAAGACGGAAGCTTGTGTTGCCTCCGAAACGTCGTGATTTTTATTTTATATTTATTTTACTTTTATTAATTTACATTTTCACCTACGTGACTTTACCGAAAAAACCTAAGAATATGAATCCTTGCAGTCACGAAAGCTTCAAATCTAGAAGTAAACTCACAATATTTACAATTGTAAACTGTCCAACACACCCGTGTACTGAATTAGTAACGAATTGGCACGTTCTGTTGACGTGCCAAACCTTAGTAAATTGGCCGTGTCGGGTGGTGGCGGGTTTAACGACACATTTATATTAACGCGATCTAACACAAAAAACCTAAACGATGGACAATATTGGTCGCGAAAGCCTACGTGTTAAACAGTATAGACATAACGTGGCAAGCAAGAAGTGCCAGAAATAAGTTAGCTCCAGGCTATATTTTAGTCTTAAGTGACAAACACACAGACGGATGGGAAAAATGGCGGCGCAAACACGTGGGAGGAAGAGGAGCCAGAATCAAGTTCAGGTGCAAGTGTAACGACGACTTGACGCACTTTTCTTGAGATGGTGTCTTTATTGTAGAGACACGTCCACTGGGCACAGGCGGAGACCCCACTGCAACAGCCCCAGTCTCATCTCGGCCCCCCCCACCCCACGGCCCCCACCCCCCCACCCCACGGCCCCCCCACACGGCCCCCCCCCACGGCCCCCCACCCATCCCAAACTCCTCCCTCTTCACGCACCGCGACGCTGAGACCACGCCCCTTGCCGACTTCACACTGCGCGGTGAGTGGGTGGGTGAGTGAGTGGGTGGGTGCGTGGTGGGTGGGTGCGTGGTGAGTGGGTGGGGGGGGGCTGCCCCTACTCAGGCGAGGAGAGAGGCGAGGGGAGTGACCCCCAATAGCCCGACACGGCAGCAGCAGCAGGAGACGCAGCGGCTGCTTGCGCGACCGTCTTCCCACCACTTCCTCGCCATGTCCATGCGGCGCTCACATCGGCTGAAGGTACGGCGGGCTCTGGAAGAGCAGAGATTGGGTGGAGGAGGGAGTTGGTTGGGTGAGTAGACATGGGGTAGAGAGAGAGGGGGGTAGAGAGAGGGGGTAGAGAGAGAGGGGGGTAGAGAGATAGAGGAGGGTAGAGAGAGGGGGGGGGTAGAGAGAGAAGGGGGGTAGAGAGGGCGGGGGTAGAGAGAGGGGGGTAGGTCTCTGTGTATCTCTATGAGTCTCGGTATATCTCTATGGGTCTCTGTATATCTTTGTGAGTCTCTATGTATCTCCATGGGTCTCTATGTAGATATCTCCACGAATCTCCATGGGTTTACTCTGTGGTACATAGTTCGGGTTTCATGACCCCAATCGCATGACCGTCTGTGGCTTGCGTTTACGGCGGAGATGTAATCACGCACCGGCCTTTTTGATGTCCTTGTGCGGTGATTGGTCACGACCACCCCAGTGTCTTCAATGAGTAATGTCCTGTCGAGGAGACGCGCTCCATTAATTTAACGGTTTCCTTCGCAAAGATTTACATTTAGAAAATTTTCGTAAAAAATAAAATCTTTTCGTACTCTTAGGTTGTTTCGGTAAAATCACGTAGGTAAAAAAAATAAAATAATAATGATTGAAAATAACTCACTTAAATCACGACGTTTCGGAGGCAACACAAGTCTCCGTCTTCAGGTGGGACCGTCACAGCCACATTTACTGTATCAGGTGAAGAGAAATCCAGGAGATAAGATCTTAAATACTGGTTAAGGGGAGGAGCTTATCTAAATGTGGCACAAACTTTTGTGAAACTCATCTTCTTGGTTCTTTCGGTAAAGTCACGTAGAAGGGAAATAATAAAATAATAAAAATAAAACATAATAAAATATTTCTCACGACGTCTCGGCCACAACGCAAGCAGCCGTCCTCAGGTGAAGAACAGGTCTGTCGGAAAGACAGCATCTGAATGGGCACCACCAGGCTTGGCAGCGTATATTTAAGCTGGGTTGGAGGGGGGAAGGGGCGCCTTGACAAAGGAAGACTAATTTCAGGGTGCCGATTCCAAATCTGATCTCAGATTTGCTCTATCACATCTCATTTTTATGCTATCGGCATACCCCATTTTCATTGATTTTACCCGAAATTAACTCTGTCACTTATGATTGCAAGTTGTTGCGAGTCGGTGGCTGCTTTAGTGTTAAAATGTGGTGCTGTATTTTTAGGATAGTGTGTTCATAATATCATTTTATGTAGATATCCACATTTATGTAATATTTTTCTTCTGCAGTTTTTTATTGAAAATGCAATATTTGACATCTCAAAAATCTGATGTGATAGGCAAAAACTGATGCCAGATTTGGAATCAGCACCCCAAAATTACCTTACAACCGTTGGAATACCTTATGCCAGAAAAAGTATATTGACCAGTGTAATTCACGCGCCGCGAATGCAGTGCTAGTGATGCACGCGTTAAACTATTGACATTTTAAAATCCTTTATATTAAGTTCGTTTGCTTGCTTAGGACCGTGCAAATCTTTCGGTCGTTTTTTAACCCACTTCCCGTGATCCAATCGAGCTGACATTTTCCACACAGACTCGTTGTGCGTGACCATTAATGTTCGTGAAATTTTTTTTCCAAAATTTTACACTTTTTAGGACAAAAATATTATATTTAATTACCAATTGCTTAATGGTGCAATGCAATCATCTGACCCATAGGTGGCAGCCATCTTAAGCCAGAGGACGAGAGGACTCTAGCCGCCACGCATATAAAGGATTTATAGTGAAAAACTTTGTTTTTACGGGTTATACTTATTAAAAATTAAAGCCACTGTGGTTTGCGCACTCCTTCAACAACGGAGGAGGAAGAACAGCGACACCGCACGAACTCTCTCCCGTTGCCCTCCCGTCGTGGCCGGCACACAATTTGACATCGGCGCTATTAAATTTCGATTTAAAGCTTTCGTGACTGCAGGGATTCATCTTCTTGGTTCTTTCGGTAAAGTCATCACGTAGAAGGGAAATAATAAAATAATAAAAATGAAAACATAATAAAATTATTCTCACGACGTTTCGGCCACAACGCAAGCAGCCGTCCTCAGGTGAAGAACAGGTTTGTCGGTAAGACAGCGTCTGAAACGTCGTGAGAATTGTATTTTATAATGTTTTATTTGTATTATTTTATTATTTCCCTTCTACGTGACTTTACCGAAAGAACCAAGAAGATCGGCGCTATTATCTCGAGCGCATTTTCCACGCGGCCAAACAGAACGTCCCTTCGTTTAGGCATCGGTACATTTCGGCGTTTTGTTCGCCCCGAAGTCTTCGTCTAGCCGATGACGACCTCTTGAAATCGTTCGTGTGCTCTGTGAAGAAGGGCCGTTGCCCGAAACGTCACCTTTTGTGTTGTTTTTTTAAAATCCTTTATATTAAGTTCACTTGCTTGCTTGCGCGCTTACGACCGTGCAAATCTTTCGGTCGTTTTTTAACCCACTTCCCGTGATCCAATCGAGCTGACATTTTGCACACAGACTCGTTGTGCGTGACAATTTATTTTCGTGAAAAAAATGTTTCAAAAATTTTACACTTTTTAGGATGTTTTTTTAATATTTTATTACAATTGCTTAATGGTGGCAGGCAATCATCTGACCCATAGGTGGCAGACATCTCAAGCCAGAGGACGAGAGGACTCTAGCCGCCACGCATATAAAGGATTTATAGTGAAGAACTTTGTTTTTACGGGTTAATTTTTTAGTGTCAGTGCCACGGCGTTCATTGACGTGAAACGTTGGTGAGTTGTTTGTTGTTATCTGGGCACCGCTGCCAACGTAGCAGCAGCAGCAGCATCGTCGTCGTCGTCGCCACGTTATTTTGTGGCATTTTCGTCAAGTGTCACACTGCAGATTCCACTGCGGCGGTCTCTTTTCGTCCCACTGGCTATGATTAAACCGAAACGTTTAGGCCACGACATCGTTATCAACTCACACCCGTCCACCAAGATGATCATTATCCGATCATCAAACACTTTTAAGGGGACACACGTGACATTTTAGCATTTTAGCAAGCGTTGCTTCAATGCGAGCAAACCACAGACTCGGTTTCGGACATTCAAGTGGCTCTCGTCGGCGCAGGTGGTGGTGTCAGGATTTTTCTTGAACCAATTCTGGTTCAAACGGACACACGTCGTAACAATAGAGCCAGCCGTACAATAGTGAGGCTGTTGGGGGGAGGGGGTCACGTGCTGGTAGCGGGCAGCAGTGATGTGCTTCAAGCCAAAGATCCCTCCCGTATAGCCTCCACAGGCTGTCGGGGCAAGTGCTGTTAGCGAGTAGCAACCTCTGAAGGCCAGCACCACGCCCGGCCGCCTTTGTCTCCCCAGCTGCGATATTTTTTATGCACAGCACCAGGTAACTCATTTGAGGCTGAGTCGACCTAGGGGAGGCCCAGGACCGGTTCGGATAATGATAATCGAACTCGGGTCACCAGGTTCGCAGCGCAAGAGAGCTTAACCACTGCGGTCGAATCCACACACTCACACACACCCCACGCAAACACACAGGAGGGGAGGGAGGTATGGATATTGGTGGTGGGGGAAGTTTGTGGAGCCCCACAACGGCATCGTGAACCGGATGGACCGGTCCTGGCTGGAGCCAGAGCTTCTAAAACCGCCTTTCATCTGTTTCATCTCCTCGGCAAGATGAAAGCCCTCTGTGCCAATGGGATTATTGTGTGTGTGTGCTTAACCCTCCCTGAACCCCTTGCCAGCGCCCCCCCCTCTCTCCCCCCCCACCATCCTCTAGCCCTGCATGGGAGACGGGCAGACTCGGTGGGGACACGGGGGGGGGGGAGTGAAGGGGGGCCCCTGACGTACCACGCATCGACAAAACTAATAATGTACGAAACCTCGTGTACGATATTTTTTATTTATGAGAAAAATGTGTAACTTGTATAAGCCCTTGACATCGAACGGCGAGATGGCATCCCATTGGTGGCGGTAAAGAAATATAAACATCTATTGACGGGCTAAACGATTTCTTTAGTACTGCAATCGGTTGCAAGGGCTCAACTTAGGGGTCATCCATTTAGTAGGGAGGCAAAAATCTACATCAACTTGCCCCCCCCCCCCCCCCCATGTACCCACGCGTACTTTTTACACCCCAGCCCCCCACCTGCGTACATTAACCTGACGCACCCCCCCCGAAACTTATTGAACGGCCGATATTTAATCCACGCAGAAACGATCAAGGATTAATAATATTAACGCAGACCTGGTCTTCACCTGAGGACGGCTGCTTGCGTTGTGGCCGAAACGTCGTGAGAATTATTTTATTATGTTTTATTTTTATTATTTTATTACTTCCCTTCTACGCGACTTTACCGAAAGAACCAAGAAGATGAATCCCTGCAGTCACGAAAGCTTTAAAATAATTTTATAATGTTTTATTTTTATTATTTTATTACTTCCCTTCTACGTGACTTTACCGAAAGAACCAAGAAGATGAATCCCTGCAGTCACGAAAGCTTTAAAATAATTTTATTATGTTTATTTTTATTATTTTATTACTTCCCTTCTACGTGACTTTACCGAAAGAACCAAGAAGATGAATCCCTGCAGTCACGAAAGCTTTAAAATAATTTTATTATGTTTTATTTTTATTCTTTTATTACTTCCCTTCTACGTGACTTTACCGAAAGAACCAAGAAGATGAATCCCTGCAGTCACGAAAGCTTTAAAATAATTTTATTATGTTTTATTTTTATTCTTTTATTACTTCCCTTCTACGTGACTTTTCCGAAAGAACCAAGAAGATGAATCCCTGCAGTCACGAAAGCTTTAAATCGAAATTTTTCTGAACTCATTTGAAGTCCAATGTAGACAAATTGTTATCGAGGCCTCACCAACCCCCCCCCCGTTTCCTATACGTTCATTGTCAGTAGACCCCCCCCCCAATACGCAAGCTACGCATTTGGGTTAAGCCCCCCCCCACACTCTCTCCCCTCCATGCGTACGGACTCAATGGAT